CTTTTATCATCTGAGAAACATTTCTAAACTTAGGGCAATGTTATCCAAATCTGACCTGGAGGTGATTATTCATGCTTTTATTTCTTCTCGTTTAGATTATTGTAATTCCCTTTTTACTTGTTTTAACAAAACTGCCGTCACTCATCTCCAGTTGGTCCAGAACTCTGCTGCGAGGCTTTTAACAGGAACTAACAGAAGGGCTCACATTACACCAGTTTTGTCTTCTCTTCATTGGCTGCCTGTTGAATTTAGAATTAATTTTAAAATCTTAGTTTTGACTTTTAGAGCTTTAAATGGTCAGGCCCCCCAGTACATCACTGAAATGTTGATTCCTTATTCTCCAGCCCGCACCCTTCGGTCTTCAGCGCTGAACCTTCTTAAGGTTCCTAAGACCCGGTTTAAAACTCGGGATGACCTGTCCTTTCAGGCCGTAGCCCCCGGGCTGTGGAATGCCCTGCCACTGCCTCTTCGTGTGACCGTCTCTGTTGATTCTTTTAAAACGCAGCTTAAGACATTTTAATTTCGACAAGCTTTTAGTTAAATGTTTTACTGTTTTTACCAGCTGTTTTTACTGTTTTTATTAATGAGCTGTTATTATTTTTGTTTTATTTTAAGCCTTTATTTCTTTATTGTTGTACAGCACTTTGTGATTGTATCTATGATAAGTGCTATATAAATAAAGTTTACTTACTTTCTTACTTAGAAATGGCTTCTTCTTTGCACTGTAGAGTTTCAGCTGGCAACGGTGGATGGCACGGTGGATTGTGTTAACTGACAATGCTTTCTGGAAGTATTCCTGAGCCCATTCTGTTATTTCCTTGACAGTGGCATTCCTGTTTGAGGTGCAGTGACGTTTAAGGGCCCGGAGATCACGAGCATCCAGTAGAGTTTTACGGCCTTGACCCTTACGCACAGCGATTGTTCCAAATTCTCTGAATCTTTTGATGATGTTATGCACGGTTGATGATGATAACTTAAAAGTCTTTGCTATTTTACGCTGGGTAACACCATTCTGGTATTGCTGCACTATCTTTCTGCGCAACAATGGTGGAATTGGTGATCCTCTTACCATCTTGGCTTCTGAGAGACACTGACACTCTGAGAAGCTCTTTTTATACCCAATCATGTTGTCAATTGACCTAATTAGTGTTAATTGGTCTTCCAGCTGTTCATTATATGCTCAATTTCCTTTTTCCAGCCACTTATTGCTACTTGTCCCAACTTTTTTGGGATTTGTTGACACTGAAATTTTGAATAAACATTTTTCCTTTAAAATGTTACATTTACTCAGATTAAACTTTTGATCTGTCATCTATGTTATATTACGAATAAAATATTGACATTTGCCATCTCCACATCATTGCATTCAGTTTTTATTCACAATTTAGTTAGTGTTCCAACTTGTTTGGAATACGGTTTGTACAATCTGTGCCTCATTTACCCATTCATACAGCACTCTACTAGATCTCTACAAAGCTAATTGAACAAATTATTCTAAAGAGACTAATCAGTGCTTTAGATCACACTAATACACCGATAGCACAAACATCGGAGGCAACAAGGGGTTCAGTGTCTTGCCCAGGGACACTTTGGCATGTGACTGCTGTGGGGTTCGAACCCCCAACTCTTGCATTGGAGGACGACTGCTCTAACCACTCAGCCACAGCCGCTGGTCCTCCCCGAACCCAGCGCAAGAAGGGGAGAACCTCGCAAGCGGAGGAAAAGCCCAGCCTTCAGTCACCAGAGGAACGGCGGAGAATTTTTCTAGGGGGGGAGGTACCTGTGTCTATCAGAGGAGCAGCCCAGCTCTCGCTTGCTGGAGGAGCGAGGGGGGAGTTCGTTGGGGGAGAGAAACCAATGCCCCCACTTGCTGGAGGAGCAGTACAGCCCTCCCTCGCTGGAGGAGCTGGAAAGGTGGCAGGCTTCCATAGTGGCAACATATCTGGATCCGTTTCTGCCCTGCCATGAGGAGACCCAGGTGGACGCTCCTCACTCCAGTCCTCCAGAGGGGTTCACGGCTCCATCTATTGCGGCAGTCCCAGTGTCACCACCTGCTACAGTTTCAGCCCCATCACCTGTTGCAGCTCTGACTCCTCCACCACCTGCTGCAGCTCTGACTCCTGTACCACCTGCTGCAGCTCTGACTCCTCCACCACCTGCTGCAGTACTGACTCCACCACCACCTGCTGCAGCTCTGACTCCACCACCACCTGCTGCAGCTCTGACTCC